ATTTTCATTTCGATTTTCAAAATCAACAAGGTTTGATGTACATTTTAAGCTATGATGTGTCTGGCACCTCAGAGTCCCTTTAAAGTCAAAAATTTGAATCCTTTAATCTAAGTATTGCATGTGATAAATGGATACCAGCAACTGACTTGTTGGGGAGAAACTAGGTAAAATGCTGTGGTACTAGAATCATTATGCCATGGAATCCTGTGATAAGTACTATTTCTGTTGCCTCTGTTGCAATTATTTGTATGGTACTCAATTCTCACCTTGATGCAGTTGATACATTTTTTTTACTTCTAAATTTCTAGACGGTGTCTCAGATGCAGTTTTATGCAAAACTGAAAAGTTCATTAGACCATGTGATGATCTATGAAGACTTGGACCTACAGCGACGTGCTTGCGCTATGATACCTGTTGAAGACCTTGAAAGTAAAGCACACTCCATGAGCCAAAAATCAAAAGATGGACAGAATAAAGGAATCGATGTAAGGGATTGCTTAATACTTGCTTTGCTCCACTGGTTTAAAAATGGTGAGTAGAGTTGAAATTTACCAAGCTGAATATATAAATCCCGTTTCTGACAAAATGCGCATATACTTTGCCACTTTGCAAGAGGCTCCCTCTCTCTCCAGGGGGAAAAATATGGAAAGGAACTATCAAATTCAATCGATAAGCCTTTTTTAGCGTTGCGCATTCATTCAAACCCAAGAAACGTAACGGAACATGATGTGAGAACCGTGCCGTGAGCAGTCAGAGAGATTTCTTATGATTAGGAAACTGTACGTCACGAACCAATAAGCTCGCTAGACAACTGCTTGTCCATTGCGCATGCTTGGATAATGGACGATCACGTTCACGTTCAAACTTTGAGTTTAACAGTCATACAAAATTGCAGTGCCCCAGGCCATGTGATACACAATGTGAATGGTTGAATTTTCAACTGAGCCAAACTGCATCTAAGAAACCAAGTCTCAATTATCTTCGATTGTATTCTCAGAATTTTTCCAGTGGGTGGACAAGCCTTACTGTGACAGTTGTAAAGTCGTGGGTCAGTTTCAAGGCAACGTCGCGCCAACATCGGACGAGGAGTACTGGGGAGCAGGGACTGTTGAGAACTACCGTTGTCCAAAATGCCAGCATGACATCCGCTTCCCAAGATACAACCATCCGACCAAGCTCCTTGGTATGCATTATCCTAACTTGTGATTGTGTGCGGAATTTATGTTGCACGATATTCACTTTTTCTTAACAACCACTACACGCATTTTTCTTTGGTGTTTGCTCGATACTTCTTTACTGAAAGGAGAGGTTGCGAGAAATTGTTTGGGTAGTTGAAGAACTTGCTTGATATATTTTGGGGGATTTACGCAACCCCCTTCTCAATTATCTAATAGTTTGTCCCTTAGCATGGATGATAAAAGGACTGGTCCTTCAATCATCTATGGTCTAAGAAATGTGTGCGCGCCCTATTTTAACTTTTGTTGCTGTCTTGCCGTCTTTTCTCAGAGACTCGCCGCGGGCGTTGTGGAGAATGGGCCAACTGTTTCACGCTGTTATGCCGTACCTTAGGATACGAGGCACGTCACGTGGTGGACTGGACAGATCACGTGTGGACTGAAATTTTCTCTGAATCTCAGCAAAGATGGTTACACTGCGATTCGTGTGAGGGGATATGTGATAAACCATTGCTCTACGAGGCTGGGTGGGGAAAGAAGCTCTCCTACGTCATAGCATTCTCACGTGATGAGGTTAGTTTTTTCCATCTCAATACTCCATTTTACAGTTTATGTTCAGTGACCACGAATAATAGTTCCAAGGCGAGGATGGAGTTGTCGCGCATGATAAACTGTAGTTTTGCTATGCGCGGCAACTCCACTTTCATCGGTCATCTCCACTTCCAAACAAGTTAAACTTTCTGAATAACAAGATTTTAGCCTTGTACAACAGCCTTTCTTCAAGAAAATAGTTTTTGGCGCTCACCGCTTGAATATGAAAAGAATTCTCTGTTAATGTTTAAAAAAATTATCTTAGGTGTTTGATGTGACGTGGAGGTACTCCGGCAATCACGACCTCGTACGGCATCGACGTAAAGAAGTACCCGAGCAATGGCTTCTGAACACGACTATGAAAATGACAGAACAGGTGAGGATATTCTGTACAAAATGAGGGCATTATTTTTATTTCATGCGCATGCGCAATTTTCCGGAAGTTAAATATGATCAATGAAAATCAAACATTAAATCAAATCAAACAGAGTTGTGTGCTTACTTCCGATCAAAATAAAAATCGGGAACATATTTTTTTATTTTTGGCAAGTCTTTAAACGCATGCGCTCTTATACCGGAAGTCCAAGAAATCCTGGTCTCAAAAAATGGATTATGCCAGAACCTTGTTCTTCGTCGCAGGCCAGAAGGAACGCAGGCTCTGGGTACGAGTTTGACTGATGTCTATGAAGTATATTACGGTTAGGCTACGGCGCAGCTAGAACTTAAGTCTCCTACGCAGCCGCTATAAGTGACGTCACAAAACGCTCACTCCCTTACTGTAGGTGACTAGAACTTATAAACATACTGATATGCTTTGTTTCTTATAGATTTCATTAGACAATCTTCTTTTTATCTAGACATAGTTATTTTGACTCTAGATTTAGTGATAAGGCTCTTTGGACTAAGGGGAGATTAGGGCAAAACTACAGTCTGCCTTTCGTTTCCCATTCTGTTTCCATTTCCCATTAAAGATCTCGAAGATTTATGCCACACTGCCAGTGAATTCAGATCAGTTAAACCACATTATAAACCGTATGACTAATATGTGATGCGATTCCCGCAGCTTCAAAAGGATTACCCTCAGGAACGTCGTCAGATGCTCCAAACACGTACTATCACAGAATTATTTGAAATTATGACGTCAAAGAAGGCGACTGAAGAAGAACTACAAGGTCGAACCTCGGGTAGCCTGGCCTGGAGGAGGATAAGAGGAGAACTGGGCGTAGACTCTGATAACAAGGTGAACAGTTTGGAAAATATAATAAGTTTTCTCATGAGAACCAAGCAACACTGATTATACACTTGCGCAATTGTAAAGAAATTGATTGGCTTTGGCCGGTTTTCGTAGCTGCCAAGTTTAACTAAGGATTTTGGGTTGGTTGTTTTTTATAACACCCAAACAAAACTTCGTGCATAGAGAAATCTTGAATCTCGATGCCTGAAATAATACTATTTATTACTACGATTGCTATAAGGAACAGAATTCGAGACTGATCAATTTATAAGAATCGTGCATTCTGATTGTTTATAACGGATAACATTTGACAGTACTGAACTTAACTGATAAACTCGTGGCCCTCTTTTAACGTCTCTAGTTAATTAGGGACGGGACGGCCATTTAACGTGATCATCCGAGCCACGTGAAGGTCTAACCATTTGTAGATGTAATTACAAAGGCAGCAACTTCTCAGTTTTTTAAAGATCTCTCGCACAACAGATAACATGGCGGCGGCCTAACGACCTTGATCTATATATTCAAGACCTAGGGCACAGATTTTTCTTATTGACCTTCTGGCCTGGCTAACGGCCCTGGTAGATAACCTCTATGTATGTTTCGGTTCTAATTCTTGGATTATTTATAGTTTTCGCCGTATGTTTTCAAACCTACACCAAAGGAGATCGCAGACAAAAGGTAACTTTTATGCTATAGTTCATTTTGGCATCAGTCTTATTCACTGTAATCCATAGTGCTTTCTGGTGTCATAAGTTATGTCGATCATCGACAGAATACGGATTCGCTACTGCCCAGCCTTGGATGGCTATTACCGCTGTCCAGACAACAGGATCTCCGCGGACACCAGTTCTGATATAGCTGGATGGAAGAATGGTGCGAGTGCTGTTGAGTCGGTGTTTCGTAAAGTGGAAAACGACTGGAAAATGGTAAGTGTTGACCACAGGGAGCCCCGTATATTAAATCTCAAAAACGTTCCTTGCATAACAAAAATGAAAGGATCTTATTTCACCATGCGAAGTTGTAGGTGAAATAAAAGGAAAACGCATTTGTACGTCAGCGCATAACTCAAGATATCGTGTCGATTAATATAAGGAGACCATATATTCCTATAACTTCTTCATGATCTTTTTACGTGCTCCTATGCATTTCTATACATTTCGATCATGTTCTTGGTTTTAAACTGGAGAACTCCCTCTTCATATCTTGAAAAGTCCCTTGCTAACTCATCCAATCTTTCTAGGTTTACCTTACAAGAAATGAAGGCAGCGAATTGGGGTCAATATCTTGGAAAGTTGATTTAACAAGTTCGGATCATATCATAGATGCCGTCACTATCGTTGCTACCAGCAGCACATTTGAGAACGGAAAAGTGGACTGGATGGTCTACGGTGACGATGTAGAACGCCAGTGCTCCGTGTTAAATGGAGGTAAATGTCCGCTGCAATAAGAATACCATACCTAGAAATCTGACCCTTAAAATAACCTGTTGTATAAAGGTTCGTTTTCCCTCATGGGAAACTTGTACTCGATGTACACTATAAAGCGGTGTGGATGCCAGCGAAGAGTCACCCGTTTTTCGGGCATATTTTCTCCTGCCCTGACACTATTTACATATGACCCATAATACATTTCAGGCTTGGTGTGTAACATGCAACATACCAACCCTTCTTGAAATATGTGATTGCATATAACGACTTCATTAGCATAGTGAATGAGAACTTAGATATAGAGCATGTGCATGTTACAGTACGTCATGGCCGCCATCTTGGTTGACGATAACAAAACATTCCTCGTTAGCTTCTCTTGTTGGATCAACCAACATGGTGGCATGTTTCATTGTTGTTTATATCCCAAGGGTTTTTGAGTCACATGGTTGTACAAAATGTATTGGGCATTCCTGAATACTTACATTACTTATATTGTTGTTTACTTTAGGTTCGGCGCCACAAACATTACATAGTCTTTGTGGATCCAAAACACTGACCTTAACAGCAAGACTGAGTGGTGGGATAGGAGACGTTGCTTGGCAACACGCGCAACTCTTTCGTCAGTCTGTGCTCATCCATGATGAATATCCACTACAAATCGATATCAAGATAAAACCTGCCCAGTAACACTGTTGATGACTGAAGAAAATAATGCATGGCATCTTTATTGCAATAGAAATCTTTTGAATCATAGAAAACCACAGGAAGCCCACTTTTGCGATTCGAAATCGAATAAATATGTTATACATTTCATTCAGTAGTCCCTTTTCTCATTCGTTAAATACCGCTGTGTTTTATGACTAGAGACTCATCTGCTCAGGCTTAGGCTCGCTTCAGAGCAAATCATTTGCAAAAGTCAACACTTTTTTCTAGTACTAAATGTTTTTATGTATTATTCTTCTCCCTATGAGTAAATAAAGGTTGTATTGTATTTTAATGTAAAGAATGTGCAGCTTGAATAATATCGATGTTTTTAAATCCCACGGACTTTAATGGTATCTGTGAATAATTAACTGACTTATAAACGAGGCTTAGCCTGTGCAAATAGGTCTGTAGGTATATTCTGGTATGATGTGTTGTAGTGTGTTATATGATGTGGTGTTAGGGTATACTGTGAATTGAATGTGTGTTGTACGGTATGGTGTTAGTATAGGAAATCGCACGATCTCGAGTACAATTCTGAATTCATAGGTACGAGTGATGTTTTGGACGAGCCTCTAGTGGAGTGTTGGGGTTAGGGTATAGAGACTTTGCACCATCACGTGATGGTATCCATGCAGGAACAATTTATTCTGGTTTATTTTGATTTACATGAGAAATAATTTCCCGGGGAGGGAGGGGAGACTCTATTGTTGTACCTCCTGTCATGGCTGTCATGCTACGTGATGGTGCAGAGCCTCTTTAATGATTGAATGTGTGTGTTGTGCATGTGGTGTAGTTAGACGTAGTGTGTTGTACTATGGTATGGTGTTATTTAAGGTATGCTGTTGATTGAATGTG